TAGAGGTCAATCAAACTGATAATGAAGCATTATAAATGGCATTGATGAAAGTATAGCTATAGAATCAATGGGAGATGCGCGCAACTAGCTAGCCAGTAGTACTTACTTTCGGCCATTTATATGTCAGCTCCTTCGGCAGTCCCGGAGCTTCTGCGGTGAACTGTTTCCAAACCCTGCAAGACAAAGAAAATTATTATTATTACTTGAGATATCAGGAAATGAACAAAAAGTTGCCGATATGGTGCGATAATGATCGATTGAACTTACTTGCTGAGCATTTTAGTGATGTCCGTATAGGATTTGGGATCTTTCCATCTCGAGTCTAAGACGGTTACTAGTCCACTCTCAAGCTTAATCTCCAGAAGAATATAGTGGTACCTGCGCACGCATGCATAACTCATCAATTGCATTACTATAAGCTCGCTTGAGTAATAAGGGAAACCGAATATGCACACGACAGTAACACTCACGGGCCGTTGTAAGGAAAGAGTATGGTATCTTTGTTTTGATTTTTGATCAACGATTGTAGCAAGTTGTCCTCGGCCTCTTTGACGTTCTTTTCAACCAGAAATACATCTATGATATTTGTGTTAATGAACCCAATATCATAAATTTCTTGTTTTTTGCACTCGACGATGTTCAATCTGCATAATATATTGAGGATAATTAATTATAAATACATGCAATGAAAGAGCCGAACTATATATAGAGACTTAATGACAGAAATAGTACTTACAGGCAGTAGCAAAAGACCATTAATTTATCGAGGGCCTTTTGATTGAAGAACTCGAAGAACTCCTCAAATGGAACAGTCAACAGATCATTTGCAACGAGATGATGCTCCTCTTCAATATGCAGATACAAAGCATTCTTACCCTCAGACTCTCTGCAGGTTTCCATGTACCAATTATGGAATCTTCGCATCATTGTTGTCAGAGATTTTTCATCTTTGACGAGAGGCTTCCCGTACACCGCGGAAGAGGATGCAGTCATTAGGGCATGCATGTATCTTCTGCACCTCCAATCCTAGAGGGCATACAACCTTCTTTGCTGCATATGTACTGTCGGGCAATTCGTTATCCTTTGGAAGCTTCTTCTTCAATATTTTCAGTAGCTTCTCAAATCCTTTGTCAGGCACAACATTCTCTGCCTTCCACTGCAGCAATTCCAGTATGGTACCGAGCTTTGTGTTGCCATCTTCGCAATTGGGGTACAACCCTTTTTTGTGGTCCTCTAACATGCGATCGAACTTCACCTTCTTCTTTTGACTTTCGCATTGCGTCCTTGCATCGACAATGACCCGATGGAGATCATCATCATCGGGCACATCGTCTGGTTCCTCTTGATCTTTAGCAGCTTCGCCCGTTGCAGCATCATCGTGCACATCGTCTGGTTCCTCTTGATCTTCAGTAGCATCACTGTATTCAGGGGGCACATAGTTGTCATCGTACTCTTCTTCTTCGCCGTCTTCCATCATAACCCCTATTTCTCCGTGCCTCGTCCAAACATTATAGTGTGGCATGAAACCCTTGTAAAGCAGGTGGGTGTGGAGGATTTTCCGGTCAGAGTAAGACTTCGTATTCCCACATATAGGGCATGGACAACACATAAAACCATTCTGCTTGTTTGCCTCAGCCACTTCGAGAAAATCATGCACGCCCTTAATGTACTCGGAGGTGTGTCTGGAACCGTACATCCATTGCCGGTTCATCTGCGTGCATTATATATAATTAAGTGTGTCAAAAATCATTACAGAACATCATGAATAGATAATTAAGTGACCAAATTAATAGAAGTTCATCATCACATTAAAACCAAAGTATATACATAGTTCTCATCTAACAACATAAAGCTCTGCAGAGCATCTGAATTAATTAAACCATACACTGAAACTATGTAAAACATTTCAATGCGAAAACAAATGCGATCATAATCGCAACCAATGTAACAACTGATCCAACGGCATAATGATACCAAGCCTCGGTATGAATGGCATATTTTCTAATCTTTCTAATCTTCAAGAGCATTGCATCATTCTTGATCTTGTGATCATCGACGACATCCGCAACATGCAACTCCAATATCATCTTCTCCTCCTCAATTTTTCTAATTTTTTCCTTCAACAAATTGTTTTCTTCTTCAACTAAATTTAACCTCTCGACAATAGGGTCGGTTGGAATTTCGGGTTCAACAACCTCCTAGATAAATAAAATCTATGTCACGTTGGTCGGCATAATTGTCATAAACAATAAATGGACCAATAGTTATGAAAAGATAATATATACCACATCTGAATCATAGACAGGACGAGGGCCGACGGGGGCGGATACCAAAACCATCGCACTATATAATATGCAATAATAAAAGTAAGAAAATTATACAAGTATCTATATAAATATACAAGTAAGATTTTTTTTCCTTTCAGAAAGAAGATAAGAACAAGAGGCTCACCACGGTGGTGCCGGCGACGAGATCGGCGCGGGCGATCGACGGCGGTGAAGACGGGGACAGGACGTGACGGACCGCTAAACCTAAACAAATATTGAGGAAAATGGAGCTTGGAGAGGAGAAAGCTTAAGTAGTGTGGCTCGGGCATTCCATCGAACACCTCATGTGCATAGGAGGTGAGCTAGAGCACTACAAAGCTCTCCCCTCGCCGGCCACGAAAAACAGAGCACTGGGAGTGCTCTGCTCGCGGGCGAGGGGTAGATATAGGCAACTAATTGGTCCCGGTTCGTGCCACGAACCGGGACTAAAGGGCAGCCTTTGGTCCTGGTTCAAGCCACAAACCGGGACCAATGGTGGTGGGCCAGGAGTGCGCATTGGTCCCAGTTCGTCTCACCAACCGGAACCAATAGGTCCACCCGAACCGGGACCAATGGCCCACGTGGCCCGGCCAGTCCCCGGGGCTCACGAACCGGGTCCAATGCCCCCATTGGTCCCGGTTCTGGATTGAACCGGGACTAATGGGCTGACCCGGCCTGGACCATTGCCCCCTTTTCTACTAGTGTGGGAAGGACTTAGGTAATACTCCCTCCGTCTCAAAATAAATGACTCAGCTTTGTACTAACTTTACCTGAGTACTATTTTAGGAGAGTACAATTTTTATTTGGCCTTCAGGCTTTTCCTTGTTAAAAAATGGTGGCTTCACTTTAGCAGATCTTATGCCTCTTCAGTTCTTACAACCCATGGTTCACATGTAACATGTATTCACTTTATCCTATCTTAATCATTCTTACTGGACATCAATTAACAAAGCAGAAAAGAACCAAAAAACAACTCTTCCACAATAGTTTCACTGAATGAAACCGTTATCCATATGCAACTTTAGTCCCTTTCATTCTTTGGTAAGCTCTCTTTACACTACCAAATGCACAAGAGTTTTACAAAAGCAGAACACCCACCTGCACTATAGCTCACCCTGTCACCTAGTGTGTAAGTTGCACCCAGGCAACAGTAAGAATGCCACATAATTCTGAGCATATGCTTGGTTTGCTACCAAATTTTAGCTAGCCAAAAAGTGTCGGCAGTCCAAAAATTGGCAAATCCAAGACTTATGTGAGGTTGGCTAGATCATTTAATTAGTAGCCAACCAATTAGTTTTTTTTTGAAAAAGGGGACGTGCCCCAGCCTCTGCATCAGAAAGATGCATACGGCTCATATTATTAAAAGGATAAACCAGTAGCATAGCACCGAAAGGTCATAGTAGAAACTATAACAAAATCTGTAAATAAGAAAAGCCCAAAGCCACAACCGGCTGGCAAAACAATAGGATCACTACATGTCTATCCTATTACATGACCGCCATCCAAACCGGTTGAAAATATCCCGAGCTACCATCTCCCATCGGGTAGACGCAGTAACCAAACGCTCCCTGGCCTCCGTCGGAGTGAGTAGCGACCACATACGGATGAACGCCGTGGCCCTGAAGATAACCTGCAAAAAGTGAATGTTTGTTGATCGGTTAAAGACTAAGTCATTTCTGCAATTCCATATTGCCCACAAAAGTGCACAAACGCCAACCCGAATGTGTCTTGCAATGTCAGAATCCACCCCATCTAGCCATGTTCCAAATAACATACTAATAGAGGTGGGCTGACTAATATTAAAAGCAATATGAACCGACCGCCATAGAATCTTAGCCAACGGGCAATCGAGAAAGAGGTGTTTGATGTTTTCAGAATAATCACAGAAGCTACATCGAGACGGACCTACCCAATTACGTTTTGCAAGGTTATCCTTAGTCAGAATGACTTGTTTATGCACAAACCACATAAACACTTTAATACGTAAGGGTACCTTAACTTGCCAAACATGTAAGGAGGTAGGGATGACAGTAGAGTTAATGACATCCTGATACATTGATTTGACCGAGAACACACCATTCTTAGTAAGTTTCCAATGCAACTGATCAGGGTGAGAAGACAATCGGACATCCATTAAACGACGAACCAGATGGAGCCAGGCCTCCCAACGATTTCCAACAAGCGTCCGCCTAAAGTTGATATTGAGGGGAACGGATTGTAAAACAGTAGCAACATAGGCACCTCTACGTTGGACTATGTTATACAAAGAAGGATATTAAAGTGCTAGGGGGGTCTCCCCAAGCCACGTATCCTCCCAAAACCTCGTCGTGGTACCATTCCCAACAATAAATTTAGTCTTGTTGAAAAAGATTTGTTTAACTCTCATCAAACCCTTCCAAAAGGGCGAGTCGGAAGGTCTCACAGTCACCTGAGCCAAGGTTTTAGCAAAGAGATATTTATTGCGTAAAATCTGTGCCCAAGTGGCCTCCGTCTCAGATGACAACTTAAAAAGCCACTTGCTAAGGAGACATATATTTTTGATTTCCAGATTTTCAATACCTAGGCCACCTTGGTCCTTAGGTCTGCAGATAATATCCCACATCGCAAGTCTATACTTCCGTTTAAGCTCATGAATTTGCCAAAAGAATCGAGATATATCTGACCAAATGGCAAACATTGGCATCAAAGCAACGGCTAATTGTAGCACCTGCAAAGCTGTGTGAAGATCACGAAGCTAACGGAGCTCAGGAGCGCCAAGAACCAGTAGTAGTTATCCAGGCGCTCCACCCGGGGATCGTCGGAGAACCAGCCGTGGCCCTTTCCAGCGCCCCCCGCCGTGGCCACCTCGATCGCCGCGATCAGCACCGTGCCGACGAGGCTCCCGACGCCGAAGACGCTGAGGTAGAGCCCGAAGCCGATGGTCCTCATCGCGTCGGGGACCTGCGAGTAGAAGAACTCCTGCATCCCCACGACGGCGAACACGTCCGAGACGCCGAGCAGCACGTACTGCGGGAGCAGCCAGGCTATGTTCATCTGGCCAGCCGGCACATGGCGGCGCCGGGACTCGACGAGCGCCGCGACGACCATGGCCACGACGGAGAAGACCATGCCCACGCCGATCCGCTGGAGCACTGTGATCCCCTTGCTGTCCCGGGTGACGACGCCGATCAGGGGGATGATCACCCTGTCGTAGAGCGGCATGAGGATGATGATGGACACGGTGATCGTGCTCTGGAGCGTCGCCGGCGGGATCACGAAGGCGCCGCCGCCCACCCGGTGGTCCATCAGCGTGCCCTGCTTAGTGAAGAAGGTCATCGGCTGCTGGAAGATCACCGCGAACATGAGCAGCACCGTCCAGATCGGCAGCAGCCTGAGGATGATCTTGGCCACACCGAGTCCGTTGGCCTCTTTCGGGTCAGTTAGCTTGGCTAGTTTCAGGGGCTTCTCCTGCAACCTGCACGGCAGAGTTCAGAATTCTTGCATTGGTCACTAAATGCAACTATAAACTTCTCTAGAATTTAGCTGGCAATGCACAAATCTTACTCTAGCTCGGAAGCATTGTTCTTGTCGTCGCCGTCGTCTTGACCATCATGTCTCGACGACAAACGGATATTTCCGGCCGAAACACTCGCAAGAAGTGACTTGAGAGCTCTGAGGATGCTCTCAGAGCAAGGCCTGTCGGCGCTTCTTGGCTGGCTGATCTTCTGGTAGAGAGGGGTGCAGCAGAGGAACGCCGCGACGGACAGGGCCATGGCGGTGCAGGGGATGGCGAAGCCGATGCCCCAGCCGACGGTGTCCTGGACGTAGGACATGGTGGTGTTCCCCAGGAGGCTGCCGCAGCATATGCCGAAGTACCACCACTGGAAGAAGGCGCTCTTCACCTTGCCATTCTCCTCCGCTGTGCCGCCGCCGCCGCCGTCGTCGTCCTCGTCTCCGATGTCGAGCTGGTCGGCGCCGAAGGCTTGCAGCGAAGGGTTGTACGCGCCTTGCCCGATCGAGATCAGGTAGAGTGGCAAGAAGAGCGTCGCCCATGGCATCCATTTGTGAAGCATTGCCCATGAGGCTAGTCCTGCCAGCCCCTGATATGCAGTGTTAGTGGGAAATATTAACCCAGATGGCAAAGAATCTCAATTACTGCTATGATGCAGTAGTACTAGCAAGTAGCAAGTGACTTTTGAAAGAAGAAAATACCAGGGAGCTCTGTATTGGGTATTGTTAATAAAATAATTGCGGACTGTAAAAAACAAATTTGTTACGTCATGTATCAATGCCATGTTTGAAGTCCAGTGAACTCTAGACGTGAGGGTGTGTTCAAATATAGTGCCTACATTTCAATCATAATAACTTTGACATTCATGAACAACATCAAATGCCTGCATTGCGACAGCTCTTGCCATGTTGCAATTTTGGTTTCATGCCAGTAACAGAGTGTGGAAACCAATGTTGCCCACATTGGTGCCATCTCCTCCATCTTGTCCTAAGATTGTACTCCTATAACAGAGTATCTACAATATAAATATTACAGTTGTCCTAGAGCAACTATGCTTCCTGACTATAACTACAAAGTGCATTAAAAATGCAGACCCCAGACTCCGGGAAACAGAAAACACTACCTAAAAAACAAACTGCAAAACAAACACACACAAGAACATGACCAATAAGAAAAAGATGGTGGAAACAACTAAGGAGCAATTAACTTACGGCGACATAGAGCAAGGATGATGCGGTGACGGTGGAGTACCGATCCCAGTAGGAGTCGGCGAGGACGGCGCTGACGAGCGGCAGCATGGAGGTGATCCCTACCCATGCGCTGACGCTCTGCGCCGCCGCCGCCGTGCTCATCCCCACGACGCCGGTGAGGTAATTCACCATGTTGGACGCCACCCCCTTGAACGCGAACCGCTCCACGCCGGCCACCACTGCAAACTAATCGGATCATCAGACGGCCACGAACAGCAGCTCAGAACAGTGTACCTGCACCTCTTTTACAGTACCTATGATCAGGATACACGGCCGTCCCAGCGACGCCGACGATCCCTTCTCCGTCGTCATGAGCTACGGCCGGCGACGATCGACCGGCAACAGAGCGGCACCTGAGCTTGCTTCTTCACCCGACGACTCACCTACTTACAGAAACGAGGAGACAGCAGGAATCCGTCGATATGATTTGTGCCCTAGACACGATTGCACACTGCGCACCAATGTGTGCAAGCAAAGCTGTGGAGCTTGCACGAGCCGGGGAGGCAGGAAGTGGAATCCACCACCAATGGCACAACAGACAAGCCCTCTAGCTACCCCTTTTAAAGGGAAAATTAAAGCGCTTTCATCCCCAAGGTTCGGATGGCAATGTATTTTCCCTTTTTGGATGCATCGTGGCCTCTCCACGAGAGCGAGCTAGTGCCGCAGGGCGGCAGACTCATCGCCGCTTTAGCCTTTAGGAATGACCCCGTGGTTGACGGCGAAGGGCCTGCAGTGTTGCACCGTGTACGCAACTCTTGCTATTTCGAGGTGGCAAGCTTTTGCCTCTAATTTGTTTTATTTCATGGAACTGGTAAAACAAGCATGGCAAAGCTCAGTTCAGGTTTTGTAGGGCCGGGATTAGTTATGTCTGTCCCTCAGCCCTGACAACCGCTATTCCGTTTTTCACTGCTAATAATCACCAGCATAGCTAAGGTGCTTTTGCATGTAATGTGTCTACCATTAAAATTTTACTATTTCTCAACAGGTTCCTTTGCGGGGTTCACGATGGCTAACTCAAAAAAACACGTTGATAAAACCTTTTGATATAGCATGCAATCTTATTTCATAGGCCTTTAGGATTTGGATCTTGAAATATTCCCTACCAAAAAAAGATAAAATTAATTGCTCCATGTTACTCCAAGCTTCCACCCGCATCCATCAGTCTAAGCTCCACCAAAATCTCACACAAATGTCCATATTTCTTATTTCCTCTCCCGTCGACGCACAATAAGATTCAAGTTTCTCTTTTCTTTTAGAGTAGATGACGACATGTGCATATGGGTTGTACATATCCTGAATAATCTCGGACCAAAACCTGTGTGTGCCAGATCATATCAATGAGATTGATGTTCTTAAAAACATGTCAACATATGATGGCTATTTTTATAAAAAATGTATGTGGTGTGGCTAATCATATACGACCATGAGAACTCATGTTATCACCTGGAGAATTTAGAGGTTTTGCGCACAAACAAGCACTGAACACACGAAAATTTTGTGTTGCGTAATCTCACTATGGATTTTCTATTTATTTATTTTTGCTTCGTTTATTCAAAGTTTAGAGAGAGGCATCTTAACACCACGATCATAATAACTTGTGCCATTATTAGAGCTGTATCTAAAATAAACCTGAGTCAACTACTGTCCGGCCGAGCGCATGACCACTTCAGTTAACAGACGGTTCAGATTAAGAGAACTGAAGAAGAATGGATGGCTCATATGGAGCATTGTTATCCTTGAGTTTTAATCTCACTTCATTTATCTGTAACTACAACAAGCTATTTTTGTTTATCTTGTCCGTTTCACTGTAAGCTCGAACATCGACATACATAATCTGGAGGTTGTTAACGAGGAAGGTTAAGAAGGAAACACTAGTGTATACTTGCTATAGCTAAGGTTTGACTCCTTGGTCCCTCCACTACAAAAAAAATACACTTTCGTGATGATATATGTTTGTCACAGTAGGTCATGTTTTTTGTCATGCATGTACATCCATGACGATTTTATGGCAGAATCAAGATAGTTATACCTGTGTTATCGTAGAAGTGTTCCATGACATTATCAAAATTATCATCACGGAAGTGTCCACTTCCATGATGACAAATCGCGCGTCATAGAAGTGCTTTCGTCAAGGATGACCGACACGTGGCATCCACCGTAACGGCTCACTGTTAAGCTATCGGGTCCGGTTTTGGATCCGATAACCCGTTAACAGCCCCAGCCAATGGGGATTTTCCACGTGTAAAATCATCATTGGCTGGAGGAAACATGTGTCGGCTCACCTTTGGGACAGATGTCATCCACTCATTGGACCGAAGGCGCCTATGATACGTCAACACGTGGCACGACCCAACAGAGGCCCATTCCTGTGAAAAGGCCGGCCCGTTTGACTTGGTCAAAAGGTGGCGGGCCGGCCCACGTAAAACCTGTTAACGGCCTGTTCGCATATAACCCATTTACAACCCGCTAACCCAAGGGCCCTTACGACCTATCCAAATTAGGCCCAGTAGCGTCATCTGGGCCGTCCAATATGAGTTTAGCCTGTTTTAACTTCCGGCCCATGATGTCTTTCGGCCCATATGAGGCCCTTTGTAACTCTTGGCCCATTAACGACCCGTGGCGAAACTGGCCCGTAATAAATAGTGTATCACTTTATACCCATTAACGGCCCATTATTCCATTGGGCCATTTCCAGCCCATGTTATCTTTCGGCCTTCTCATGACCCATTTATTCTTGGGCTCATTTCCAGCATTCGTTTACTTACGACCCGTTACTGTCATTTTTTGCTTGTGGGCCAAATTCAGCCCGTGGTTACAATTGGCCCGTTTGTGGCCGGAACATTTTCATAGCTTCATCAAATACGTCCGATTAACGACAGCCCGTTATGGTCGGCCCATGAACAGACGATTCCAACTCTATCCCGTTTACAGCCATAATGCGGTCTGTTATTGGCCCATGTTTAGCCAATCAATCATACGACCCGTAGAAGGCCCATTGTGTCTACGACCCATAGAAGGCCCATTGTTTCTACGCCCCGTAGAAGGCCCATTGTTTCTACGGCCCTTAGAAGGCCCGTTGTTTTTACGCCCCGTAGGAGGCCCATGGTAACTACAGTAAATATGTAGCCCATGGTTATTGTGGCTTAGTTTTAAAAAATAGGTTATTGCGGCCACTAGCAAACTGCGGAAACAGAACTGCACTGATTACAAGTAAACAAATAAACAAGACAATAAGGAAATAAATAAGCAAGCAACTTACGCTAGGCCATCACGGCTATTACACATATTACATCCACTGGGCATCAAAGTTCACCACCAGTGCAAATATAGGGAACAAAGCAGCATATCATATACACTGGTTGTTAAAGTTGGCGACCAGTGCAAATAAACGCTGTAGCAAAACAAGTCCAGAATTGAAACCACTTCAGAAGAGCTCAAGAAACAATATCCTGGGTACCCATAATGCTGGCAAGATGCTTAACAAACTTATTAACTTTCTCTTGTTTGGCACTTAAATCCTCCAGCACTTGCTGTTGCACCAGAAAGTATGCATCTGAATTCTGCAGGGACTTCCTCAATCCTTCGGCTTCCTGTCGCATAACATATGATTGATGTCTTTCAACTTGAAGTTGAGACTCAAGAAGCAGAACTGATTCAGGCAGCGAGTTTGGAGAGCTGGTGCTAGCAGTAGTAGCCAGTAACTCGAACACTACATCAAGATAGGACTTTGGGGTTGTCTTAGTGTCTTCAATATAGTTTTTATCAGCTTTCTGGGAGACTAACAGGGATGTCTCACTATCTTGAACCTTATCTGCATTACTTCCTTTACCATTGCATAACGGGGTACTCTTCTCCAATATTTTATCCGCGTTCTAAAAGAGAAACAAACAAACACATCACAGGTTTACAATGTAGTATATGGAACTCATTTTGGTAAACCAGTTCAGTGGTAAGGTGGACAGGATAACTGCATAAAACAAACATATATCTATGTAGTATGGTCACTGTATGGTCTATGTCATTCTAGTTTATGTTGCCAAATCAAGATAGATATAGTTCGAATCATATCTATTTAAGACAAAGCAGCATAGACAGAATATAAGTGTGGGAAACTACACAGCAATAACAACACTTGTATTGTGCATGGCATGAGAACATTGTCGGTGTCAAAACCGGCGGATCTCATGTAGGGGGTCCCGAACTGTTCGTCTAAGGCTAATGGTAACAGGAGGCTGGGGAAACGATGTTTACCCAGGTTCGGGCCCTCTGGATGGAGGTAATACCCTACTTCCTGCTTGATTGATCTTGATGATATGAGTATTACAAGAGTTGATCTACCACGAGATCAAAGAGGCTAAACCCTAGAAGCTAGCCTATGGTATGATTGTTTTTGTCCTACGGACTAAACCCTCCGGTTTCTATAGACACCGGAGGGGGCTAGGGTTACACATAGTCGGTTACAAAGAAGGAGATCTACATATCCGAATTGCCAAGCTTGCCTTCCACGCAAAGGAGAGTCCCACCCGGACATGGGACAAAGTCTTCAATCTTGTATCTTCATAGTCCAACAGTCCGGCCAAAGTATATAGTCCGGCTGTCCGAGGACCCCCTAATCCAGGACTCCCTCAGTAGCCCCTGAACCAGGCTTCAATGACGATGAGTCCGGCCCGCAGATTGTCTTCGGCATTACAAGGCGGGTTCCTTCTCCGAATACTCCATAGAAGATTTTGAACACAAGGATCGTGTCCGGATCTGCAAAACAAATTCCACATACCACCGTAGAGAGCACAATATTCCAAAAATCTAATCTGCTGACATCTTTTCATAGCGTGACATCATGCCATGGCCCGGTCATTATTCAAACCGTTTTCCAACCTGCTACCGCACATATTGCGAGGCGGTTTTATTGGCACGTCTTGTCGAAGCAGAGATCGTGTCCCCTTATCACGGGATTCTCATCAATACGGGTGTGGGTAACCCAACCGCGCCTGTTAGTATGACTCCTCGATTTTAGGCGAGTTCCAAACGGTCACGCGGAGGACGCTTTATATTCACCCCATTTATAAAGGGACCAAGGCCTGTCCCTTTCTTCCCATGCTCGATCGTGCCCCAACCTCGAGTTCCAACACCCAAAGCTCAGGCTTAAGCGCTTCGGACCTTCAATCATGTCTGGATCCAACCTTCAAGGTCGGTGGATGGCCTCCTCTGTCACAGAGGAGGACATCAAGAAGATCAGGGAGGCCAGGTATCTAACTGCTGCAATCTCGCACAGGCTGCCTGCTCAAGGGCAGGTCATCCCTACTCCTGAACCC